GATGCGACCCTCCCAGTAAGCTTCTGCCAAAGTGATTGCCGAGATTTCACAGAAACCGATTCGACTAAGGACCGTGACTGTAAGGTGCGAAGACATACCATACGACGGATACATGTGCATGATCCTGCCCAAACGCATCTCAACAGCCATCCCTTTCGTGCGAGACTGACACGGTTGCTAAGCGTCCCGAACCCCATCCTAAAACCAGCGTTTGCCCTCAGCGCTGCATGTCGTTTCTTTTTCACAGACTCTCTTTGTCGTCAGCGTCCTCGTCCAAGAAGAGAGCCGTCAGGCTCTCGGCAAAACCATCGGAGGGCCGCTGCTCGCACTCGATGCATTCCTCTGTGCTCAGCACAAACGAGATTTGCAGGAGATGCTGGTGAGATTTGTTGCTTCCGCCTTTTGACCTACTCAGCAGTTTTGCAAGTGACAAGCCCTTGACTGGCAAGAAGGAACTGAAGGCAAAGCCGAAGACAAACAAGAAATCCAGAAAGAACTGTTGGGGCAAAGCGGGGGCCTCCTCAAATTCTGCAAGCATGGACCGCTTTGCTCGAAGAACCTGACGATGGGGAGGCCCTGAGCTCAACTAAAGCTTCTCTGACACGCGAAGCGCCTGGCTCCAACCGAGGGCCGATTTTGCGTGGAACTTGTTTTTGTTGGCTTTGGCTTCTCGGGCTGCCTATTACTGCCATGACTCAGACTCTTGGAAAAAAACAATTACTCTACCATACGATTAACATTGCGATGCATGAGACCTCTTTGCAACAGGTATCACTGTCATCACCGCGCCTGTATCTTCACTCATGCTACCACTACTGCAATAATAGTAATCATCACCAGAATTGCTCACGCAACTGTTCTCAATGATGCTATCACCACTATGACTTCTGTTAATGACACTGGCTACTGTTGTTATACGTTCCGTGACAATCATGTGCTCGCTGTATTATTGTTTTTCAGTCACTAACTGTACAACTGCTACCGGTAGTACTAGCCTAGTACGGCGAGTGTCCTTGCCAGTGTCGAAGCGTGTTTTCTATTCTTCGCCGTCTGTAGCATTGTTTCCAGCATTGCTACCGTGATTCTTGTTGCTGCCATTTGTGTTATTTGCATCCTTGGAACATTAGGTTTGCTACTGCTGGTAGTTTGGTAGTTTATGTTGATCTGCGCCCATCCTGCCTCGGCTTCATGAGACTGGCGCGCAAAGGCTATTGACTGTTGCCAACCCCTGGTCCAGTACTGGTGCCAACGAAAAGCTTCAAAAGTGGAGAAGATATAGCCTAAGTTATAGCCTCCAGTAAACCAAAGGAGGTGCGGAAGAGACACACCAAAACGCAGTTTTTGCGTCCCCTGGCCTCGGCACCATGAAGGCCAAATCGGCGAACGCGTTCGAGCTCCCTTCAGAAAGATTCATTGGGAAAAAGAGCTCTCAAGAAGCCAGGGCCTGGCCTCAGAAGACTTTTTAGGGCACACCGTACTCGGCCAGGTACTGGGGCCAGGCTCGCACTTAGCGGACTCCTCGACCAAAGAAAGGACCCGACGCGACACACTGCGACACACGTTGGACCTGTCCATCCCCTTCCCGTCCAAGACTCAAAGTTGGCAAAGGCTCGGAGGTATCCGTCCCTGCAGAGAATAAGTCTCGTGCCCCTCCTGCAAATGAATTGATCCTTTTCGCACGCTATAGCTGCAGCATGCGGCAGCTGCATGACCGCCCCACTCCTTCTGGAGGGCCTTGCAAAGTTAGCCGGAGAAGCCGCGCACTGAAGGCGCGATGGAAGAGATCTTCCTGAGAATACAGGAATGACCCCTTTCTACGGGTGCATTAAGCCTGTGCTTGCAGAGAGACTGTCATCCGGCGGCGGACATCGCGGACGTAGCGAACCGGCATTCCTTCAAGCTTGCCAGGGCTGCTATTTTGGCGCGGAGCAGCAGGGAGGGGTGCCAGTATGGTTGACATGGGCGACCTCGCCTGTGTATGCCTGAAACTTAAACACATGCAGCAGAATCAATACAATCAACAGGAGCACGAAGGTATCAAAAACTGGATTGTGCCACGGGACGCGGTCGCTTGCAGTCAATCATGCTCCTGAGTGAACTGTACCGAAACTTCGCATTCCAAGGCTGAAAGGGAAACATCGGAAACATACCTTGCCGGCCACGGCTCGTTGCAAAACTCAGTTCCGGATCTGTGCTGCTGGCCACGCGCACCTGACACGAGAAAGAGGCCAAGCACTGGCAGATGCTGGCTACAGCCAAGCGCCCCACACCCTCAGAGCTGGGCACGCTGTACCTGCAAAGATCGAAAGCATGTTCAGCTCACGTAGATCCCAAGACTGCCTTGGACGCTCCGGTGCTGCAGTCACCGGACAGCGAGGTAAAGGTGAGATGTCCTCTCAATGAAATCTCTGGCAGCCATCTGCTAGCCTGGAAGTTGGAAAGATTGACTCTCCTCAGGGGAAATCTCGAAGAGGTCCTTCAGAGATTGGTTGCACAGCTGGAATGGGCTTGCAGAGCGTCTGCCTCCCTGTGCAGGCGAACCCCCTCGTCCTTGATTTGCTGTTCCACAATTTTTGCATCGAAGTCACCCACGGCAACGACAGCCATGCGCGCAGGATGGTAAAACCTGCCGCTGACCGGCTGGCAGAACAAAAGCTTAAGTGTCTTTATCTGTGGACCCTTGCGTTTCGAGCGATGCCATTGAAGCTGCGAAGGCTGTTGAACTTAGTCTGCACACCTTACGATTCCCACCAAGTCGCTTTTGATAGAAGCTTCTGAGCGTCTGTGAGGACACGGAGCGGATAACTTCTTCTTTCCTTGCGCTCTGACTTTGTGACTCGATTTGCCTTGAAGGTTTAGCTCTTTGTTAACTGAAAGACAAGCCAAACTGCCCGATTGGAAGTCGCTCACAGTATCTGCAACCGTCACCGCAGAGCGCCTTTGCTTGACAACGGCGCTCGTGTCTGCAATTCAAAAACATGCCGTACATCAAGTGAGGCTGCCTGGATGTAACGTTCACTTAATCGCCCCTGAGCACTCCGACTTTCGCGCCATTCCTCAGACGCAGGAACACTCTTGCACCATCGTCTCACCCACAATATCCTAAACTCCCTCGAAAAAAACTGGGCACACCACCTCCATCACAACCTTCCGCTCCTTGTCCAAATCATCATCCGAAATTCTCGTGAAGAACGCAAATTCTCGCAAGACCTTCCTCAGTTGATGACGCATTTTGCTGAGATGCTTCTTCATGTAAATATTGTCTGTTTGTGTGGCGGTATGGACTCAAGCCAAGGCTAGTGCGAGGGGTAAGGGCCCTGGTTGGTAAACAACTACATTTGAAGCTCAATGCGTCACGGACCTGTGCCGTGACGCGAGCCTGCGGAACCTTATTTTACTGCCTGGTGCAAAAGAAGCCAACGCAGCAGGATCATCTTGGCTCGTGAGTAGCTGATGTTCTTGTCATGCCAACACATTTTGCAATAAAGCTTCAACGATTCTTCCACCAAGCCTTCCTTGTCAGTGGGCACGTGGAGCGTGTAACTTAGTGCACATACATTGTCGAACAGCAAACTGACTACCCGCGCTGCAGAGAATTGCAAAGCATTGTACTGCCCAAACCGTCTGCGGGGAGCAGGCACTGTTCTATCGAAAGTGGTATACGCATTCCTTAGCCGTGTCTGTGCAGGTCATGGCGCGCTGAGCATGCGAAGTAGGTGACGAGATGCTGGCATGCACCGAAGGGTGCCCCAATAGATTCCAAGAACTTCACGATGGCGTGATTTTCATATGCCTTTGTGGCTGAAAACCTTGGCATCATCTGGTTGACATCAACTAACTATGCTGAACGGCTGCGGCGCCTCCTGGCGTGCAGAAAAGCGACCCCAAATGCTCGATGATATGTGCGATTCCGCGTTCCTGTTTGAAACACTCATACCGAACAGGCGTCGCACTGTAACTGTCACAACGTAGCACTCCCCGCAGCCCTGCAAACGTCGCAGCCAACACAGACGAAAAACGTCTCACCTACGTCACACCTGCAAATTGCACGCCATGCAAAACATGGAATGTCAATCAACGACTGCCAATCATGATCGCATCTAGCTCACGCTTCGGCATAATTGCCCACGATCCATTGTTCGAGGTCCAGCAGATGGATGCATCCTGTACCCGAATGTCGACCAAGACCAATACCCAGTAGCCTGGAGTGGGTTGACCCACAATTTGTCTGACAGCTGCGGCTACAGCCCACTTGCTTCATGGACATGCAGTGATTGGCTTGATGCCCTGGTTGACGCAAGAACCTTTACCGAATAACCCTTTGTGATGTCACGTCCATGTTTTGTTCCACCCGCATGTGCGAACCTGACAAGCAGCAGGAAACAGGGACAAACTGCAACAGTTGCAGGCCTCGTCTTCCTCCACCAAGGACCCAAAACCCACAATCAAGAACAACTCAGCCCGTGATTTGGGTTCGCGATTCCTCGGCTAACGGGACATGCGCATACAGCAACCGCTATGTTCGCTATGTTGCAAACGCAGGTCATAACTAAGACCGCCACCTGCCCCTTTCCCCTACATACGAACCCATGCTCGCTGCACAAAGGCTGCCGAAGGTCTGCATCACGTAGTATGTCAAACCGTTCATCAAAGCACCTGTTGTCAAAAATGCGTGGACAATGTCAAACCGAGCTCCGCATGCAAAAACCTTGGACACAATCTTGTGGCAGCCGCGGGATTTCGGCATCCTGGCAAACATGGATGCAAACCGCCAAGAGCCAGCGCGTTTTCATTATTTCAGTATGCGAACCAACCTCATCAATTTGGTTGTCGCACGCGGCCGCCAAGACTTTCAACTTTGCAAAGCACGATAAGAGATCTGGAGGCTGTTCCTGACCGTGGTGATCGAAACTATGGCCACCCTATCATTCCAACGCAAGGCTCTCATAGTCTTCACATGCACACACACACACACACACGCCACAACGGACGTGGCCGTTTGGCTCCCAATCATATCTGTCGACCCCGTTTCGAGCCTGGAGACACAATAACAAACCATTCAAATTATCTTGCAAACTACTTGCCACAAAGTCATTCGGCAGAACAATTTCGTGATCAGAACGTGTCGGAGCACGTCGCACGGTTGGCGTGGTGCTGCTGGAGTTGTACAAGTGCACAAACGATGTTGCAAGTCAGCGTGCCGCAATGGCATGGCCAAAATTGTGCTCCAAAAAACTTACACGAGGCAGTGTTAACGGTTAACGCTGACCGCAATCAGCGTGGGGAGGTGGCGCTTGGCAATGCGGCAGGTGCAGCCGCCGAATGCTAACATGGTGAGGTGTGTGGCGCTCGCCATCAAATGCTTGGGCGGGGCTGCTGGCATTACCGAAAACACTGCGCATGCCTGTCCAGTCTGCGGCCCGGCTGGTCTGCTTGGGCGGATGCATTGCTCGTCATCCAAATTAGTCTCCCTCCCATGATTGTAAATGAGCGGATACGTTGGCGATGGGGCCGCCGTCATGTCGGGCAATCACGCTGCCGCTGCTGCTGCCTCTCAAAGGAGCTCAGTCGGAAGTGTACAAGATTCTGCCAGGGCAGCGACGCTGCCCGTGCCGCAGCTCCATTTGCTGCGCCACAGCGCACTGCAGCGTGGCCGAGAATGACGAGGCGTGTGCGACACGAGCATTTCGGCTTTGCGCGTTTGGGGCAGCGATTCATGGCCAACCGTGCCCTCACTTCTTGTAAAGGGATAGTTGCACTGTCAAGTGCAGTGCAAGCACAACTGACGAAACAATTAAACTGCGGACAGCGCTCGCACCAAGCTTCGCAGTGATTCAAAGGAAAAGTCGAGGTTCTCACGGTTGTGGTTCATAACGATGTTTCGCCCACATCCAATCTTATCTGGCTTTCCCATACTCCTCACATCCATCCTCACGAGCCCCGTTGGCAAGAAGGGCCCATGCAACGCACTTTCTACATCAGCCAAGGAGCAAACATAATACGTACTGCTTCTATTTGTTTCCCCACATTCATTGTGGGTTCTAAATGTTTCGATGTGCCGTTGCCCGACACCCGGGGCGTGCTTTTCCGTTGCACAAACATTTTGGCCGCAATGATGGTTTCTTAAGAATTGCGCTCTCGCTCGAGACA